GACTCTTTTTCTAATTATCAGAAGTCGCATGATTTGATTCTAAGTAGAGACTTTCTTCTTATACAACAACAACATTACCCCAATGCCTCAATGGCTCCCGCCCATTGCGGGGTAAGGGGGGTCGGATGTACGCAGTGTGACCCCTATGTTGAAAACATAAAGCGGCTGTTTCCAGATGACCCGTGATGAGCGTCGAAAGTTGCATTGACTAACTCCTATTTCACAATTGCAAGAAGCGTAGACAGTTTAAAGAGCCAATTTGATTTATTCCATCATACCCCAAAGCCAAAAAATAGTGAACCTTTGGCTCCATAGAGACTTTCTTCTTATAATTAAAGAAAATAAAAATACATCCTCTGTGAGTCATATGTGCACACACGGTGTAATCATGTCAAAGTATATTGAAGTTTGCTTACAAGTTGGATGAAGTATATCAGTATATGATTTTTATAGATTATTAGTCATTAGTTTACATTTTTTGACATTGCTGTTTGATCTGGGGAAAGGGTAAATTGATATAGAATATTATTAATAGTCCCTAAATGTTTTTCCCCTGCTCAATTTCTCAGGGAAAACAAAAACTTGACCGGCACAGCTCGTTATGCTAGTATCAATACGCACCTTGGAGTTGGTCTGTTTACTTCCTAGACATGTAAAGGAGTGTTTGTGAATTTTATTGTAATCAATTAGTTCTGCTTTTGTTTTTGTCAGAACAAAGCAGAAGGGATGATTTGGAGGCTTTGGGCTATGTACTTATGTACTTCCTCAGAGGAAGGTTGGGTTTTATAGTTGCTGCTGGTTTTCTTCATTCATGGATTTAGTTTCTCTCCTGACATACATTGTCGTCCTTTTAAAATATGTTCACAACTTTATACAATTTTTTTCTTGCTTTAGCCTTCCATGGCAGGGATTAAAAGCCGGTAACAAAAAGCAGAAGTATGACAAAATCAGTGAAAAGAAAATGTCAACTCCAGTAGAGGTACTTGCTCTGCCAAAAACAATTGAAATAAATGTGTACCTGAACTTGTCAATAATCATTAATTCTGTCTAAACCATTTAATTCTTCAACTCTTGATTTGGTATCACATCATACCCTTTAATACTTATGATAATCGTGGATATAGGTGCTATGCAAATCATACCCCTCTGAGTTTATCTCATATTTCCACTACTGTCGATCATTACGATTTGAAGACAGACCTGACTATTCGTATCTGAAGCGGCTTTTCCGAGACTTATTTATTCGTGAAGGTAAGGAGTAAAATATGATCGGTGTTTTCAATGTCCAAATCTTTTCTTTGAATTGTAACCCTCTTATTGATGCAGGTTATCAATTTGACTATGTTTTTGATTGGACAATTTCGAGATATCCTCAGATTGGCACCAGTTCTAGAGCTAGAGTAAGTGCCATTAATTCTTATACAGTTATACTCCCTACATCCCAAAATGAACTTTCCATTTTTTTTTTGGAAAACATCGAACAGTTCACATGATTTCTCTTCCTTCTACATAGATCTCATTTGACTTTCTTATACCCCATGAAAACGGGAAGTTTAATTTGGAATGGAGGTATGATTGTTGTTTAAATAAGATTAAGTATGTCAGTTTTACTTAGCTTTTTCATTTTGTCAGAATTCAAGTGGGAATGCAGGAATAGGTGTGGGGCCATCTGCAGGACCAGGAAGAATAGCACCAGGTGTTGTCTTTAAACCCACCAAGAGTCTATATGGTTCTCAGCATAAGCAGAATAATCAGAACCATAAATTGCTTGTGGCTGAAATAGATTTTACCAAACACTTCTCCTTCAGGAAATCAAGCAGATTCCGCTATAAACTGAATAATCATTTCCAGAAGTGCTCCGAATGGCAGTTGTCATCTGTCCTTTTCAAAATATATACTCCAAAATCGTTTAGGATTTTGACATCAAGCCTTTTCACAACTAAATGAGCCCTTAGTGTGAAATGTTTCTTCTATCAGTTATCATAGACATGTGACATGCCATTTTATTTTACAATTCAGGAGGTCAAGATTCACGGGAAAGGTTTTCTGGTGGTGTTGGAGAGTTCTCTAGGAGAAATGTTTCTGGACCCACACGGCATGGTGAGCACTCAAGACACAGATCAGATGTACCTTCATCAAAAGATGTGGTAAGCACACATATTCATTCATTTAACATGTGATTGAAGGAAAATAAGTTGTGTAAATGGTTTAATAATGTACTCCGAATGAAAATAATTTCATGGTAAAATATTTTCCTATTAAAAATTGTTTAATCTACAATACACATACACATCTCTAACAATTAAATACTCCATAAGTAATACAAGCCCGCTGTTTGTCACCCAGACCCACCTAAGGTAGATTCCACCGTTGATTCCTTGTATAACCTTGCAACTAGTCGCGAACTTATTCTTCAATATCTTTACTCCTTTATTCCCAAGAATCTTGACGATGAAAATTATAAACAAAAGTTTACTCCCTTCATCCCATAGTTTTCTTCCTATTTTCCTAGTTGGTTTGTCCCATTATTTTCTTCCGCTTTCTTTTCAAGGAAAAGAGTGTGTGGCTCATATTATTTATCTTTCCTCTACACAAACCACAAGTTCTACTTTAGTAAAAATCGTGTCAATCCCATACAATAAGATAATTATGGGACGGAGGGAGTATTTTACTACACATATACTCAGTATTATATCACATTACACCCTTCACCAAATACACATATCACACATACATTCTTAGGCATTACCAAAGGACCCCACAAATACTAAAACACTGCTCTTCACAACCTTTGATATGCAAAAGCATCCAACCCTGCACATGCTTCCTGTTTAAATTTGACAAAAACAATTCCTTCTTGTAAAAAGACTTTCATTTTACTAAGATCCGAAGAACACTGAAGTACTTTCTTTCTGAAACAGTTTCTGCACCCACCCACCCAAAATCAGAAAATGTTTTCCTTCAACTAAAAGGACCCCAGGTTACTAAGCTGTTGAATGGTCCTGCATTACCTTCCCCTTCGCCAAACTGTCGCTTTTTATCTACAAATCTTCATGCCAATGATGATCGAGTTTCTAAATCCCCCAAACACTGCTTTGTAAGTATACATACACTTTCACCTTGTTAGAGTGTCTTATCACGAATTTATCCGCATATCACAATCGTAAAAGATGGGTTTCATATTTCATAGCCTTTATGTTTAGGTTTTTAAGGTTGAGAAACATACTATATGTTGTTGGGCTTATTTATAATTTTCTAGTTTCTCTTATCAATTCAAGTGATATATCATGCATACACTAATAGAAGCTGTTGCATCTGCTACTGCGCGGCAGCAAGCTGCCGATTCAGAGAAGTGCCAAACATCAAGAAACAGCTGCTCTTCAAAGAGAGGGGGTGCCAGTTCAAGCCGGAGACCAACTAGCTCTTCTGCCGAAGCAACTTATGCCGGTGGCGGTGGGCCCAGCAGCAGAGTCGTGTCGAGCATCGGCCGGTCATCTTCTTCGCAGAGACTTAAACCGTCATTGGCTTTCTCCCGCGACGGAGCCACAAGGGGATCTCGCGGTGATGCTGTGAGGAGCTTTGAGTTCCTATCCATAAGAAAGTGAGCTGTGCACGAAACTTTTTGTGTGTTTTCTTCTTCTTTAAAGAGTGTATAGGACATGTTCAGGTTTTTACTACTAAAAGAACTTCACAGCCTATTTGAACGTATTTATTCAAATGTGTCTTCTGCAACAATAACCCCTTGTCTGGCATGCATCAAATTTATCTCGTTTTGTTGCCATTGTTATCTCAATTTGGGTGTGTGGTTAATATCCATAGAGGATTACAAAAACACAAATAATGGTGTTGAAATATATGCTGAAGAGAATTGAGGTAAAAATCGTTTGTTTTGGTTTACGATGTTTAATTAAAGTTATTTTCGATCATTTTATTTGAGATTTGAGGTAAAAAAATGTTTGTTTTGATTTACAATGTTTAATTGAAATTATTTTTGATCATTTTATTTGAGAATTGAGGTAAAAATTTAAGTAAAATTGCATAATTAAAAATTACATCATAAGTACTACTCCGGGAGTACAAAGTATATAACTATATTAAATCAATAACAAAAACAAAATATGAGTATAGATCATGAGTAATACTCCGGGATTACAAACTCCAGAGTACAAAACAAAAGGTATCATAACTAAAAATAGATTATAAAAATTTAATAATATTTAACCATATAAATAGTAAGCAATTAATTTAAATTAAAACAAAAAGAGTATGATTGAAAGTACTTATACTATTTATAAATGCAAATAACACAATTAAATGAGATGAAGCAAACATCAAATATAAATTTCCCATTGCGCGTTACGATGTTTGATTGAAGTTATTTACAAATCATTTTAAATGAAAAATAGAGTAAAATTTAAAAATAAAAATTACATATTAAAAACTGTATCAAAAGATCTACAAAATTAGAATTGACATGATTATATTATTTTTTCAAATGGGTAATGAAAATAGACCAATAAAATAAATAAAATTTAACCATGTAAATAGTAAATGAGAAATTTATTTGTGAACGGGAGAGTATTTGACTTGCAAATAGGTAAAAGTTAAAACTATTTAGCAAAAAGCGATTAAACACACATAATCTCTAGCAAATGGCACAACACATTTACGGATAGTTCCTAAATGGCTACAGAGATAAGGTAATACTCACTCCGTCCCTCATAGATCTTCCCAATAGCTCTTTTTCTATGTCCACAATAAATCTTCTCATTTCATTTTTTAACAATTAAAATACCACAACTACCCCCACTTACTTTATTTATTACACCTCACCTACCTCATTCAATACTCCACCCATTTTCATTAAGGGTATTATGGTAAACTTTCACCTTTTTTCAACTCTCCTTAAAAACCACCAAAAGTCAAAATGAGAACATCTTAGGGGGACGAAGGGAGTACTTCATTGCCCCATTTGTGTAAAATCAAAATGGCACTGCCACATTGAAAGAGACGATTTATAAAACTTTGATCTTACCAAGTCCCGAAAGCAGGGTCCACAATAAAATTTCATGAAAGGGGAACAAAATTGAGTCATTTTTGGTACAGCAGAATCACAGGACCTAAAACATGGCAGAACAGGCAACCTATGAGAAACAACAAACAGGGTTTTCAAGAGAAAGGGTTCCTAAACTGTGCTCTCCTTTTTCAGCTTTGAGAGCTCCTGTCTCACAACTCCAGCCTTCTGCAAATATTTCAACAAAAAGAGAACCGAATTTGTTGTGAATATATTGCTTCAACCCAATGCAAAAACCAAAGAATAAAATTGAAGTTCTATAGATTATGCAATGTAGATGGAACATAGATGGGAATAAGAAACCAATTCCTATGCTGCATTTGAAATGTAAGAGATCAAATCATTCTGCACACCTTGATTTTTGCCAACATGATCTTAAACCTGTCGAAATCATTCAAAGATTCCCTCCGCTTCTGCACTATCAACTTCTTTCCCCACGAGCTCTTCTCCCACTTGTTCTTGACGTCTTCGAGCATATAGAAGATCAGAAGAAAATTAAATCAAATAGAAGAGTAGTGATTTTGACATGGGAGGAAACAAGCTTAGGAGCATGTTCTCACCGGCAGCTTCCATTGCAGCAATCAAATTCTTCTTCTTTGGGACCCGTTTTATGTCAATTACTATATCTGTTAGAGAAAGCCTCTTGAAGTTTATTTGAGTTCGAACCATGTCAGGGGCATCAATGAGGGCCTGTTAATGTGGAAAATGAATTTTTAAAAACAGATTAAACTTCAAATATGGTTTCCACACATTTCAATTGAAAAATAAGTATAGGAATCAATATAACCATTTTAAAATCTATTTTTCATTAATAAATACTAATAAAACAGTTTATTACATCATACTATGCCTAAATCAGTAAGAGAAGAATATATAAATACTATGGCCTCAGATCATTTTACATGTTTCTGTCATTAGAGAATGATCAGACAATGTAGGCAAATGTATGTTTCCCATCATTGGCCACAAAGGAATAGTTTTTTTTAAATCTCAGCTAAAATCACTGGGTGCTTTCCCAAATCCCAACACTTTTCAATTGAAACATACAAAAAGAAATCAATATTACCCTGGTAATGTATTTTTTATCAATCAATATTAACAAAAAACTTAATTACACAATTCAATTGCTAAATCAATAAGCAAAAGATATAACAGTACTAAGGCCTCAGATCATATACATGTATCTGTCATGAGAAAATGATCAGACAATGTAGGCAAATGTATTTTTCCCATCATTGGCCACAAAAGAATAATTTTAAATCTAAGCTACCATCACTAGATGTTTTCCCAACAGATAAAAAAAAAGGAAGCTATATTAAAATGATAACATTTTTCGATCAATCAGTATCACTAAAAACAGTTTTTTTACACCATATCCTATGGCTTAATCAATAGGAGAAAGATATATCAGTAATAAGGCCTCAGATCATATACATGTCTCTGTCATGAGAGAATGATCAGACAATGTAGGCAAATGTATGTTTCCCATCATCGGCCACGAAAGGACAATCTTAAATCTCAGCTACAATCTCTAGACGCATAATGAAGAACAATCTCAGTAATGGACACGAACATATTACCCTGTTCTGATCGACAACGTCGACGATGACGACGAGCTTTCCATAGTCCTTTCCGTAGTTGACGAGAGCGACACGGCCGATCTCCACGTACCTCTTGAACGGCTGCAATACGAAACAATAATATGAAATCCAAATTGTGAATTTCTCAGATGTTGAAGCAATTCACAAAAGTATGGTGACAACAGACTCACCATTTTCGCCTCTGTGAGGTAGCAGCCGATCTAGGGTTTGGACGGGGATGGTATCGCTGGGGTTTTGGAGTTCTTCATTGGAGCTTATAAGGAATGAATCTGGGCCCTGCACAGAGATCCAACATTATTCGTTATTTTAGCCCATTTAATTTTTTTGGCCCAATAGTCAAGATTAGGATTTGTGAACAAGGATACTTTGGCCTTGTTTGGAAAAAGCGTTTTCAATAGTCTTCTTTGATGTTTTCAATTAGTGTTAGCGTTTAGGATAAAATATTAACGGTATAGATTAATTCGAAAAACGATAAAACTAAAAGCTATCGTTAGATAGCATTTTCGAAACACTAACGCTAATCTCAAACGTTGATGTCAAACGGGGCCAATTAGTGTTAGCGTTTTGGATAAAATTTTAACGATGTAGATTAAGTTTGAAAATGCTAAAGTTAAAGGCTACTGTCAGATAGCATTTTCAAATCGCTAACGCTTACCTTAATGCTGATGTCAAATGAAACTTTTATCAAATGTAAAATTATTCATGTTAATATCTTTGATAATATAAATATTATCAGTGTTATAGATGTAATTCAATATGTCTTAAAAAAAAGACAATATTGATCTGATTGTGTAATTTTGACTCGGTGTTTAGGGGACAAGATGGAACCTTCAAGAAAACGAGTGAAACACTATGTTCCATAATTACGTATGAGCACATAGGAGATGATATGATCGAATTTAGGATGAGTCAATGTTCTTTGTAATGTTGTTTGATCTCCGATTACTAACTCATATGAAATCATTCAAATCAACTGGGATCCTCTAACTGTCCATCGACGTTGAAAATAAGAATAGATGCAATTATCTAAACTCACACGACAATGATATACAAAGTGAATAATACTCCGTAAGTTAAAAATTTAGATTACAAAGACGGATGAGTTTTGTTTAGAAACAAAGTTTTCGATTAATATTTTAAATTAGAGAATGTTTTTTATGTTTTAGATTAACTTTAAAAAACCATAAAATAATGTTGCTAAATGGCGTGTACTATAGAGTATAAATGTATAATCCAAACACCTGTTAAAGAATGGTCTGAGAATGTTTTCAGCAGAATTTTACCACCAGATTGAAAATCTAATTCCAGCAGAAAGAACTTAGGGGGGTGTATTCAATTCAGATTCTGATGAATTTTTTAGGATTCTAAAAATCTGTAGGTATTCAATTCAGATTTAAAAAAGTTATTTAAAATCTGGGTGTATTCAATTGCGATTTTAAAAAATCTTTCTAAATATGATGGTATTCAAAAAGTTGATAACTTTTTAAAGATTTTTAAAAAGGTGGATTTTGATGGATTTTGTAGCATTAGGTATAAATATAAATTCATTCTCAAATCTCATCCAAAAGTCCAAGATTCTAAAAACTCCTTCCGTCCTTCATCCTTCCTCCTAAGTCCGACCGTCCGTCTCTCCCTCAACCTCTGATGTCTTCTTCTTCATCATCGTCTCTTTTGCAATTCCACGCTGCAGGGTTGTCTCCTTCATACTTGATCCAACGAGAACAGCACGGTGTCTTCTCTGGGTATGTGGAGAACATGTGAGGACGAACTCACTTCGTCTTTCTCGAATCCCAGGGTCAGCAATCTCTCAGATTCTTCGGATTCTCGCTCTGTCTTTCTCGAATCCCATTGTCACCGATCCAGTGGGGGAATAATTTGGGGAAAGGTTTGTGGATTTACACAGGTAATGAGAACTTGTTCACAAACTGATTTTAGATGAAGTTTTTGGAGGAAAAAGGAACAAAAAGAAAAGAAAAGAAAAAACAGAAATTACTGAGATGGATGGGAAGAAGTTGCTAGGGTTCTTGGGAAGGAGGAAAAAAAGAAAAGAAAAGAAAAAGAAAAAAGAAAAGAAAAAAAGCAGAAAGAACTGAGTTGGATCGGAAGAAGTGGCTAGCTAGGGTGGAGGAAAAAAAAGAAAAGAAAAAGAAAAAGAAAAACAGAAAAGAAAAAAAAGGAAAAAAAACATAATCCTATAAAATCCTAAGTTAAAATACATTAGAATCTAGCTAACTCTACGTAAACTTAAAAGAATTCAATAAAATTACAAAATCATAGATTCTAAACAATTTCTCATCGTCCCCAAAAGCTTAGACCCTTAGACCCTTAGATTGGGGGAATCAAAGTCGTCTTCACCCGAAGAGTAGATCGTCTCATCGTCCCCAAAAGCTTCACTTCTTCTGAACCCCATTCTCCATCATTCTTTTTTAACTCTGCAACTGGCAAAAACCTGCGATCTTCCCATAAATTGGATCTGAATGGGCAGCTTTTCATCCGTTGCCTCCAAAAACTGCGGTGGTTTTACTTACTAGCCTTTCAAAGACTCGATTTTTATCCTCACATTCCATTTTACAGTATTGTTATATTGCTTAAAAATTGAAAGGTAGAGATAGTACTGATCTGGGATTGTTCTTGGAGTCGCAGCTAGCTGTGGTGGTGTGAGGAATTCGGGCTCTGAGGATTTGGCTCAGTATTTCCCTATTAGACCCGAATGCCAAGCTAATGTTCCCAAGATCCGCTTCAAAACTAGGGTAAATAATACTCCGTATATACGGAGTATATGATGAATCTTGCAATGTTTGTTTTTTTCATTTCATTTTGTTTTACATTTTCCTTGTTAAACTGTTGTTTCCCATGAGTGTCCTGTTATTGGATGATGCATTCTGTGTTTATCGTCTTCCCAATGGTCCATTCTATTATTACATTTTGTTCTATGCCATTAGTGATTTAACACCAATCATTTGTTATTTGAAAACCCGGGAAAGTTGATTAGAATAATTGTTTTTAGATGGAATTCATAAATGGGTCAAACCACATCGAATCAAATAGATAGTCTTGACATAAGACTTTTCTTAACCATTGACCTCGTAGACCCTATCTTTTATAGTTTTGTATATGTACATTCAGGTTTGGATGCAAAACGCATCTTGAACAGGGGACCCAAAGCATTCCCATTTGTTTTGACTATGAGTTTATGTGTGTGCGTGTGTTCTCTACTTCTGAGTAGGGGTAAGGTTTGCGTGCACAAACATCCTCCCTAAACCATACTATTTGTGGGATCTTACTAGGTTTGTTGTCGTTGTTATTTGTGTCTGTGTTTGTTTACTGTTTACACTTCCAATATACACTTGGTGATGAAAATTTAATGACAGGCAGGGAAAACCCTTAGTCCGAGAAGATGGAATGCTGCATTCTCTCCAGATGGGAAATTGGATATAGCAGCCGTTCTTAGAAGGATCCAACGAGGGGTAGAGTCCTGTTAGCACTTTTTTGTATGTGTTGCCCATCGGGTTTTGTTACCCATTTCATGCTTATTTATATATTACACACTTTAGGGCATTCACCCTTCTATTAAAGGGGCAGTTTGGGAGTTCTTGTTGGGCTGCTTTGATCCCAATAGCACTTTCGAGGAGAGAAATGAGGCAAGACGGAGGAGGAGGTAAATTGACTCCATTATCAAAGTAATCACTCCTGAATAAGTGTTGACTTTCAACTTCTCAACTCCTGGGTTTCTCCATGAGGACCCATGATTCAATATCTTAGTGTGTAGATTTAATATATCAAAACATTCCAGGGAGCAGTATGCTGCATGGAAGACCGAGTGTCAGAACATAGAACCAACCATTGGCAGTGGGAAAGTAATGACAGCTGCTGTAATCACTGAAGATGGCCAACACTCTGAAAATGGTAATAGAACTAAAAATGGTTCTTTGGATAAGGAAGTGGTCCAATGGAAGCTTCTCTTACATCAAATTGGTCAGTATTTATATTTCAAGAAATAGCATTTGTCCCAATAAAAGGAATCAAAACTTACAATCTATTAGTGTATATCCTTGTTATGTAGGTCTTGATGTGGTTCGCACCGACCGTGCTCTTGTTTTTTATGAGAATGAAGCTAATAGAGCAAGACAGTTTGATATCCTTGCCATATATGCTTGGATGGATAAAGATATTGGGTATGTCCAAGGTAATTATAAATTTGTACTCAGAGTTGTTAGTAATTGATGGGTATTATTAATTGGGAGCCAGCCCGATTAATAGTAATATAATATTTTACATGTTGTTTTATGATTGAGCAGGAATGAGCGATATCTGCTCTCCAATGGTTATTCTTGTTGAAAATGAAGCCGATGCGTTCTGGTGCTTTGAGCATGCGATGAGAAGAATGGTGTGATGTCACTCTCATCTCATCAAATTCAATCTCTTTTGTTGTAGTTTGACCTTTCTGCCCTTGCAACCCACACTTGTTTTTTTTTCTTGTTCGAGCAGCGAGAAAATTTCAAGTGCAGTGCAAGTTCAATGGGAGTACAATCTCAGCTAAGTACGCTTTCACTCATTGTTAATACCGTCGACCCAAAGCTTCACAAACACATCGGTATGGACTGCTAATCATCTCCCGAGTACGCAACATTTAACATTAAACAGAGAGGTATTATCTTTCACCTACTCCCCCCTCTCTTTCTCAGGCTCTAAGTTTATTTGACAGAGGAATTGGATGGCGGAGGGTATCTGTTTGCCGTCCGTATGCTCATGGCTCTCTTCCGCAGAGAGTTGTCCTTTGTCGATTCGTTGTACCTTTGGGAGGTGAAAAGACAACCATACCCTCCTAGCTATATTATTAGTTACTCACTCACTCACTCTGTCCCAAAATGAAGCTTACACTTTCCTTTAATGGATGTCCAAATTCCAAAATGATTATCAGGTCATGTGGGCAATGGAATATAACCCTAATACATATTTGTCATATACGGACTCACGCGAAGAGGATAAAAACGTGAAGTTAAGCAGCAAAGAGCTGAAGCAGTATGGTAAATTTGAGAGGAAACGTGTGAAAAGTGGTCGCGCAACCGACCGGAGAAGAACAAACGATCTTAGTGTTTTCGTTGTTGCGGGTGTTCTTGAGACTAAGCACAAACAGCTCATGAAGGAGGCCAGGGGTATTGATGATGTCATCAATGTACTCGATCTCTCTCTCTCTCTCATCGCGAATCATATAACTTAGGTTTTATTACATTATACGTAGAACTACATTACGCGACAACTTTAAATAGTGATCTATGTGTTAATGACTTTACAGATATTGGGGGAAGTAACTGGGAATTTGGATGCAAAGTTAGCATTGAAGGAAGCTTTGAAAGTTTATGAGAAATATATGAGGAGGAAGGCAAGCTTTTTTGTATATATATTGCACAGTTATATGGTTAATTATCTCCATCCCATTATGATATCTCATGGATTATTATTGCTTATTGCAGGCCAAACAACAATAATAATAGTCTTCCAAGTTTCAAGGAAGGTTTAAGCAACTTGGTTTCTTCACTATATCTTGTGATGATTATTTCATTACACACTTGCATTTTTCTTCTTCAGTTTTTGGTCTATAATTACATGATACAAGTTGTATAACAATAAACCAAAAAGTATCCATATGCCTTCTAACCATTTTGAAACTTGCTTATAGTGACTTATAAACAGAGTGACAAGTGTCTTGAAGATTTTGGTTTTACAATATGATGATGTGAGAAATTAATTCATTCTCTGTTGTGTTACATATGTAATGCTTTTAGTTATCTGTTGGGTCATGTTGCACAATGAGATAGCATCAAGATTGACACTCCGAGTGTCACAATTTGATTGTTTGTGAACAGTTATATTCGCATGAAAATGGAACGAATAAATCGAATAAAACCCTCTATAATGTTTGTGGTTATGAGAATGATTAAACTAATTATTAGATGGAACTAGAGTATTTAATTAATGGAAGGAGGTTAATGAAAATAAGGGAATCATTTACAAATGATAGTGTATCCATTTGTTGGTTGTTCCATTGATGGAATGTGGGGACCTCATGTGTAATTAACATTGGAGTTAAATATATTTTTTTGTAACTTAGAGTTAGTATTGATAGGTTTTTCTAAATGGAGTGTAATTGATGCCAACCAACTTGAAAGTAATATTTTTGTGTTTTCTCCCTTCATAATATTTTTGTTCAATTTGATGCTATCAATTAAATAAAAATTATATTACAAATTAATATAGTGAAATACTCTTTTTAAAGTACTCTGTACTTTGTAAGATTAATTTAACGAAAATATTTTCAAATTAATATAAAATGCAACTTTCATTTTGATTTATGAACAAAATTTGTTTAATATGTTGTGTAAATATTTTTTTTTACATTGTCAAATTTTTAAATGCCAGATGAGTGGAATATAAAAAACTCAAGATTCTCCTAAATTATCGAACAACTTGAAGCCTTGATTAACGGGCATCAGTAGCCAAGAATCCATTGCCATTGAATTGCACAAACCCCACCTTAATTCAAACACCATTTCCCTTTTGCCCTCCCAAATCTCTACTCAAACCGGAGGTTCCATTCCCCTCTGTTTCCGAGCTTCATTCTTTTGATCAGATTCTCATTTCTTTTCTTTCTAATTACAACCAGAAATCCCACATTTCTTGGGGAGGGAGGGATATATAACCCGCCACCACCTAATGCCCGTGCATTCCCAGATTCTTGGAGGATTCTCCACAGGTCGGCCGTTAAATTACCTTATAAGATCCTCAAAGATTTGATTTTTTTGTGTGCTACATTTTGATGTTCTTGTGAAATTTGTTTCCCAGATTGACGACGAAAGATGGGGCGTTGAAGAAGAAGAAGAAGAAGAAGGATCGGATCATGACGACGAAGGTGAAAGGCTTGATAAAGGGGCTGAGATATATATCTCAGATATTTGATGAAGAAAAAGAAGCAGAGATTCAGATTGGGTTCCCCACTGATGTTAAACATGTTGCCCACATTGGATGGGATGGTCCTTCTGCTGCTGATAATCCCGCCTGGGTATAATAATAATAAAATCTATGGTTTTCAACCCAAACCTCTTTCCTTTTGTTCTATTTTTTTTAAGGAATTGAATTTGTCGAGATGTTGTTTTTTTTTAATATTGGAGAACATAGATGCAGGGCTTCAATGGAGCTTTAAAATCCGCCCCTTTAGGCTCCCCGCCGCCTGCCGATTCCAAAGACAACCCAGAGATCAAATGGGTTTCTGAAGGTTTGCTTATTCAATCAAAAGTTGAAATTTGTGATTATAGCAAGTCTTTCGGTTTTTTTGATTTTTTGCTAATTCGTGTAATTTAGATACGAGGGGAAGAGGGGGAAGATCGGGGAGCAGAGAGGCCGCGGATGGGCAGAAGTCCTCCGGACGCCACCCTTCTTCCGGCGAGAACGACGGCGGCGCCAGTGGCTCCCCGAAATCATCTAAGCCGAGGCAGTCCAGGCGGCACAAGAGCGCTGCGGACGGTACCAAGTCTGCCGCCACCGCGGCGTCTGATTCCTCCGTTCCGGACGTTGCCAAGAAATCGCGACGAAAGAAATCCAAGGATTTCACGGCGGATAGCTGCTCCCGCTCCTCGCGGACCAGCAGAAGCGCCGCCGCCCCTACCGCCACGGCGGCCGCCGCATCAGACGCCGATCAAGGACCTTCCCCACATGCACAAGAACAACTGGAAAATTGTTGAAGCCACCCACCCCCCGTCCGGCCGCCGGCCGATTTTGCCATGCCCAAAATTTTGCAGACGACAATTCCTTTAAACCTCAAATCATTGTAAAAAAAACCACATCATTTGTACAGTCTTTAACCTGTATATGATCCTAGTTTTCTTTCTAGAATTATTATTATTATTCCCATTTTAACCTCCTCTTGTACACTCTAATTATGTATTCATTTATATTTAATTAACCATTATAACTAATGATAGAATATATTCACAAAAAATCATTATAATCAGTGAAGTAGCCAGAAATAAAGTTCTCCCAGTACTAAGGACTCATGGATTGATTATATTCAGTTTTAGAACATAGCATTGATAAACAACTATAGAGACAGAAAAAAAGAAAAGAAACATTTCCAAAAATTTCCTATCAACAAGTGACTAACAAGATGTTCTTGTAAGCCCCTCCTGGCAAAATGTCAAGATTGCCCCTAAAAGAAGAGACAGAAAGCCCCAAGAATCTTCACAACAGTGGAAGCATGTATGGCTGGTGAAGCATTTGGGAGAGGGACAGGTTGGGGAATGAATGCTGGTTTGCTGCACAGTTTGAGAGTTCCCAAACTGCCCCCACCAAGATGAGCAGACCTCAGCCCTTCATCCACACAGAGGTGAGGGTTGCCATGTAATTTCAGCTTCTCGCCAACCTTGGTGGCAAACTCAGGGGAGAAAGGGACCTTCCCACTCAGATTATTGTTCTCCAAATTCAACTCATTCACAAGTTCCAATGCCCCAAACTCCTCGGGCACTGTCCCTTCCAGGCGGTTATTGTCCAGCCCCAAATAGTTCACATTTCTCAAATGCACCCCCATAGAAACTGGAATTTTCCCAACCAGCCCTGTTCCTGATAGCGCTATTCCCAAAATGCCCCCCATGTGCTCCCATATCTCAGGTGGGATTTCCCCTCCCAGCATGTTCCCGCTCAGGTACACCTCCTTCAGTCCGGGCATCTCCGACACGAACGACGGGAATCCGGAGCCGGCAAACCCATTGTAGCTCAGATCAAGAAACTCCAGCTCCTTTAAGGAACTCAGTGTCCCCGGGATTTCCCCGGAAAGTCTGTTGAAACTGAGGTCGAGCTTCAGGAGCTGAGTCAGGTTTCCAATGGAAAGGGGGACGGCGCTGGAGAACTCGTTCTGGCTCAGATCGAGAACCCTCAGCTTCTTCAACGCCGGAAAGTCCGCTGGGATGTTACCCCCGAGTTTGTTCCTGGAGAGGGTCACCTGCTCTATGCCGGAGAAATCCCGAAACTCCGCCGGAATATCTCCGGAGACGTTACTTCCGGTGAGAACGAACCTTCTCAGTGCCGTCAGGTTGCCAATATTGCCCCTCAGGGAGCCGTAGAGGGCCGGGTTGTCGACGAAAACTACCTCCTCGAGAGTCGGACCGAGGGGGGAAAGATCCGGGAAAGAAACGTTGGTTTCAGTGAAGCACTGGTAGAAGAAGAGTTTCCGCAGGCGAGTGAATCGGGCAAGAAGGGAAGGATTGAGGGTAGATTTGGGTCCGCAGGGCGGGTTGGGCGAGTAATCCGAAACGTACCCGAAGTTGAGCTCCGTGATGTGAGAAGTTCCGCCGCCGCCGCCGCCGGAGGAGGAGGAGGCGTTCCCATCCCCTTCATCAAAGACGTCGCAGACGACGCCGTGAGGCGCAGCGGAGCAGAGATCGTCCGGGAAGAGAGACCGCCAGCGGACGCCAGGACTGACAGACTCCAGAACCCGGTAAACGGCTTCCTGCTCCGGCGAGCCGAGCGGCGGCTGCGAAGCAACAAAGGCGGAAGCCGACAACAGAACAAGCACAGCAGCCGCGAAGAAGAACGGGGAGGAGAAAACCGGACCCGACGAAGAAGAAAGGGGAAATTTCGCCATGGGAGAATGGATCTGAGTGTAGGGAAGAAAGAAAGAAAGAGGTGGATCGGAGGAGAGTATATAAGGGCGGAGGGAGTTCAAGAGGGGGAGAAAGAGAGACGGCGGATTAGGAACGGACAAGGGGAGGAAGAAAGGAGAGGGGAGAAAAGCATGTTTGTGTTGAAAGGTGAAAGAGAAGATCAGTGCCTCCCTGTGGTCTGGTCTGGTCCTGTCTGTAAAATGTATTATCAGAGATTTGCTTCACTGTTGCCTAATCAAATTTACCACTTTAACCCTCCATAGCCGCCCCCTTTCTTGCCCCTACCTCTGCATCGCTATTTTTTTCTTAAATGTCCAATCCATGCACTTACATTAATTGCACAGTTAGCCCGTAGGAGTCCCAATTTATGTACTCCCTCCACCTTTTCTTTAATACCGATTGCTTTTCATTAATGTGATTGTTTTTTCAATACGAAGTGCTTTTCAAGGTCGTGTCGGGCTGGGGTGTGGGGTGCTTGGACATGTTTAATCATTCTTGTTTAATACTCTCTCCGTCCCACTATATTTGTCTACTTTCATTTTTGCACACCATCCAATACACTTTTTTATTCCATTTTATCTTGTAATTTGTATATTAAAAAATTATAGAAATTATATATTAATAATCTATATGTTAAGACAAATCAAACAAGATCATGCATGACTATATTTAGGCTTACACATTGGGAGAATTTGATGAGTCAAAGTGCTTAGATGAACAGTTTCAAAAGTCAAAAGTGGACGAATATAGCGGGACGGAGGGAGTATTACCTTTGAAATCCTTAGACAAAGTTCACATCATCAGCCACAATCGATTAAGGTCTCCTTCAAATTCTACCTATTAGGCCTCCATTATAGATTTTCGAGCATTCATCTGGCCTGAATACCTCTTTGTCCAGTGTATGCATTAGTAGCGATAGGCAAGACGGGGAGGGAATCACCTATTTTGGGAAAAACTACGAACCTTTTAATTTTTTTAAAGTAAACACGGATGTCTCGTTGGGACTTATTGATGGGTTTGAGTTGGATTTTTTACGGCGAGATCATAAAGGGCATTTTGTTGTGACTATGAGCATTCGATGCAAAAGGAGTTTCGGAGCTCAGGGAGAAGTTCTTGATTTTATTTTATTATTGATGCATTTAAGTGTCTCCAAGCACTCTCACGGAGATCTTAGAGTCACGGAGTACCACTTTTAGTTGTCGCTCTTTAGATAAGATGACACCTTTGTTGGCGCGCTACTCAATCTACTGAGAATGTTGGAGAGAGGATTGACACCCCCTCAAACTTTAGTTTTATTGTGATTCAATATATGTTCGGTTTTCAAAAACAAACATACTGAATTAGGAACTATCAAACCTAACTATATATAACTGTTAAAAGAGTATCCCGCATCGGAACTTGGAGAGAATATGAACCGGTATATAAGCCCTTGAGTTGAACTAACTAATCGATTGGATTCAATCTTTTAATGTGGTTCAACCCAAGTGTCTTATTGCCCCAATCCAGTTGCCTCTACCAATCCTAAATTTTATCATGGTATCAGAGCAGGTTTTGGCCCACCTCGTTTGTCAAGGTGTCCGTCTAGACGTTCATTCCTAGCGGCCCGTTTGTCTTTAGCCTGTAGCCTGTTTAACACGATTGCTCGTCTGGAAGTCCATACCCAGCGGCTCGTGGTCTTTAGGTGTTGGCGCTCAAAAAAAAAGTCAAGGGAATGGGAGTTCATTTGCAAGTGGTCAACCGGTTAGATTCAAAATGGCCCGGTTGTCCACTTGAGGGGGAGTGTTAAAAGAGTATCCCGCATCGGAACTTGGAGAGAATATGAACCGGTATATAAGCCCTTGAGTTGAACTAACTAATCGATTGGATTCAATCTTTTAATGTGGTTCAACCCAAGTGTCTTATTGCCCCAATCCAATTGCCTCTACCAATCCTAAATTTTATCAATAACAAAAAAAATTGGCAAAGGAAAGAAAAAGATAAAAAAACACTCTTCCAATCCCAAGAATAAATTTAAGTTCTATTTCAAAAAGGAAAGAGTATTTCTCAATTTTTCACCTCTTAATAAAATATACCCCAGTAAGTATATACGGAGTAATTTTTTTCTTAAAATTTTGTATGAAAGAAAGGACAACTCTTACATGTTGTGTAAAACAGTAAAACTATAGCTTAGCTTGTTAGGTGCATTCTCTCAATTTCTCATGATTGAATTGGAAATTAAATTGCCCCAATTGGGATTAAATTAAGAGGCATGAATGAGTGTGGTCCTCCATTTTGTAGATTAGAACCTTTTAGGAAAATGCTCATTTCTTGTGCCGCAGGGGTTATGTGTATGTATCGATGGATCGATATAACCTAATAAGAATTAGAGTTGGCAAGGTTTTTTTCTTCTTTTTCCGAAGTGTATAGAGCAACAAAATGAGGGGCAGAGAAGTCATTCCAAGAGAGGACAGTACACAGTTGCTCATTTTGCATGAAGAAAGAAAGGGTGTCGTGGTCAATGCCAAGTTTGGTCCAGCACAGACTACCCCCATTTGTATGGCACCCCACCTTGTAGAGGACCCCACCCCAGGGGTGGGTGTGTGTCAAGGCGGATGATAAAGAAAGGATGCAAAATAAATAAATAAACGGTACGGTTCCGTTGACACTCGCAACGATACTCCTACTCTCCTAGAAGTGTTACTGTATTTTTAGAATACATCCGCTACTTCATTCGTGAAATTTATAGTTCCGATCTCCCATAATCCACTTTCTAAACCTTCTGTCCTAGCCCCGCCCCTGCCCCCATCCCACACCCAACCCCGGCCACCTAAGCTTCCCTCAAAATGTGTGGGTATTATACATTGCGTAATAGCCACACATTTTAAGGTGGGCTTAGGGCGGGGTAGGTTTTGCATCCTTTTTGTGGAGAAAAGAGAATCGAAAGAAAGAAAAGATGGAGGAAGCAAGACAGTGGGAAGGAAAGAAAACTAAGAGAAAAAAAACTCCATTTCTCTCAAAAAAAATCTCTTCACTCTATTTTTCTATTAATATGAAAAAATATTTTCACTTTCAATTAAAATATTTCTTTTATCCTTACTAATTATTAATGGAAAAAGGACTAAACTAAAAATAAATTTAGAGAAAATATTATTTTCTCAATTGACTTTTCATAGTCTCTAATGTAACACTTTGATCATTAATATCTAAATTTATACATGGATAATTTTATGAAAATTTAATATTTTAAAAATTTCATAAAAAACCACTCCATTTGTCCTAAAATTATCTTCATGTTTACCTTTTCTTGGTCAAAGATTTCTAGCTTTGACCATAAAATATAGAAAATGTAAATTGAACTATGATACAAATTTAATATGAATTTATTCATTTTAAATAAGGTTTTAAAATATTATTTTTTTAGAATATAAACTTAAATATAAACACAGATACTTATGGTCAAAGTAGTACATTCGAGATTGTAAAGAAGCAAACATGAAGATAATTCCAAGACAGAGAGAGTATTAATATTATATTTATATGGAAACATAATACTCTGTATATTTTTTCCAAATATCGAGTTCAATGTTTGCAAACTTTGACCAAGAAATTAAAAGTTAAATGAGAAGATCATTGTCAGAAGAAAGGGGTACCAAAAAACTCTATGAAATATCAATATACAATCGTACATTATCAAAGTACAAACTTCTATTTTGAAGATAAAAATATGTTATTCTTATTTTGAGGATTAAGATTATGTTTTAGTTTTATTTTAGATGATTTCTTGTCATTAATATATATATCTATCACATCATATATATTTATTACTTCGTATTAATCTATCAATCATCTTATTCTGCACTGAGTAAGAGTAATATTGGAAAATAACACCAAAAATAGTAACGAAATATTTAATTGCTTTGAGATAAAATCAGCAAAGTTAAATGACCATACAATTTGATTGTCTATGAAATGTTTTAACCTTGAAGGAGATTGATTAATTAATCAATTAATGAGGGGTTTCAATATATACCCATGGTGTGATTTGCTTTGCGTTGTTGGAACCGTAGGGAAAAAGGGTAACAATGGAAATTGGGGTGCACAGCTGGATGGGAATGTGGGCTCGCCTCCGCCCGGCGGATAAATGGTTACCCCTGCGGCCGCCGGCATCCGCCGACCTGTCTCCCTCCTTTTTCTTTTTCTCTGTTTCTTTTGTCATTTTCCCCGCCCCGATAGCGACGCCTAACAAATTCGAGCATCTTTTCGACACGTGTCTTTGTCAGGTTTTGCTTGATTTGGGATTGGAGAAAGACCGGCCCGTTATGTTAGGAGAGAGAGAGAGAGAGAAACATATGGGGTTCGAGAGATGTGGGGCAGTGGGGGTGGGTGGGGCTAAGGGCACACACCTTTTGCACCCATACTCCCTTTTTCCTCCACTTAAACTTATTATCTTGAATAAATTTGAATAAATTTCTAAAATGATCTTTTTTCATTTTAGTCCTGAATAAATAATACTACCTCCGTCTCAGAGTATTTGTTCACTTTCACTTTTACACACCATCCAATACACTTTTTTAATCCATTTTATCTTGTAATTTGTATATTAAAAAACTATAGAAATTATATATTAATAATCTATATGTTAAGACAAATCAAACAAGATCACACATGACTATATTTAGGCTTACACATTGAGAGAATTTGATGAGTCAAAGTGCTTAGATGAACAGTTCCAAAAGTCAAAAGTGGACGAATACTCCGGGACGGAGGGAGTAAATACTAATGTGATCCTTTATAATTGAGAAATATTCCCAAAATAGTCCTTTGCCGAAAAAATCTATTAAATGTCATTTTTTGCACTATCAATTCTAAATCCACATAATTTTTGTGCTACCAAACACTAGAATTGGAATTGAAGTCCCCCAATTCTAATTCCATAGTTTGAACTCCATGTACCAAACAGGACCTTATTCCAAATCATTTTTTGCATTACCAATCCCAAATCCACACAACTTTTGTGTTATCAAACACCAGAATTGGAATTGAAGTTCTCAATTCCAATTTCATAATTTGAATTCCGTGTACCAAACAGGGCCTAAATGTTTTTCCAAAATGGAGTCCATGAGCCTACTCAGGATGGGGGTCTGTTTATCTAGCAGCCACCTACTTAATTTGAAAGAAACATTTTGAGAACTTATTATTCATAGCATAGTTTAGATGATGGAAAATATAAAAATATTCTCTGTTTAACGGTCATGGAATACCCATTTTTGACAGATGACTATTTAGAAAATACATCAAAACTACAAAGAACTATCTTGGTAATTATTGTTTATTAAGGACTAATTTAGAAAAACACCTTAAGTAGTAAGAGTTATTTTCAGAAAAGTAAATTCCATAATTGGTCCTTTGTAGCAAGGGGGTTTCCATATTTAGTCCTCTATTATTAAATATTACCCTCGTAGTCCTTTTTTTAAGGGTGTCTTTCCACAAATGGTCCTTTTTTTTATATCCCGCCATGTTGGTATTAATTTAAAGGCTAAAAGCTAGTATAATTTGACATCAACATTATGTCCAGTGACGTGTTCTGATATTGGTTAAACGGATAACACAAAAATAATGACTATGATTGTGGGCTTGGATTCCGACGAAAGACCACATTTGTAGACAACGATTGTAGTCGAAAACGACTGTAATTCACAAACGACGGAAACGGAACAGCCTTTGGAATTGTGCATGACAAAAAGAGATATATTATCATTGCGAAATTACATTTTTAGCCCTCAAATTAGCACCAACATGATAGAAGATCAAAAAAAGGACTATTTATGGAAAGATACCCATAAAAGAAGGACCACTGAAGTAATATTTGATAATAGAGGACTAAATAGGGAAACCTCCCCTGTTATAAAGGACCAATTATGTAATTTACTTTTTTCAAAATTTACTCAATAAATTTTATACGGAGTACTATATATGTAATCTGTTTTTTTATAATAGTTGAGTTTGCCTATTAAGTCTTCTATTATCAAAAAATTAATCTTGTTTTTATAAATATCTTTTCACAAATATAATAATTACGTGAATTATAATTTTAGATGTAAAAAAGAATACAAGAATAACTATTTTAAATTAGGACAAAGAGGAATGGAAATAGAACTTTCACCATGAAGAAATGTTTAAGTCACAAAGTAGACAAACCTATTATTTTTATTTTTAGCCATTTAAAATCATTTATGTATTTAATTTACAATGAAGTAATAAAATTATATATTTTGTGATCTTTGTATTTGTGACTCTAATATTTTCTCAAACCCATTTACCATACTTGGTGAGAATGTGAAATGGAATCAACTTTTTCGCAATTTCTCAAATCTCTTTGGCATTTCCAACGTTTGTACAACATCTTTTTAGGGTTTTAACCATGCAGTGAATAAATTTTCCTGTTTTACTCCATATCCAAATTTGCTAATGCCTTTAAGTGTGGTGCAAAATATTGACCGAAAGGGCGAGTGAATGAAAGTACCGTAGTGGCGTAGTGGCATGTTACTCCATCGGCCCAAAAAAATATTTCTTATTTTAAAAAAGTATCTTAAAAATAGACATGACAAAAAGTAAACTGACCTATATTTGACTCGAGACTCGATTCAAAAATATTGGGTTATTAATAAAAGTTTTGTTGATCAAATTTGAAGTTAACCAAACTCGAAATAACCTGCTAAAATTGGGTCAAACCTGACTGACGCTGAACGTGACCTAACCGACCCGTTAATGTAATATTTTTTCAAACTCATATACTTTAATGTGCAATATAATTTTATACAATGAAGATTATAAGTATATATAATTATTTTCTTATTACTCGTTTTAATGTATAAATTTATTCTTCATACAAAATTTTATTGATATCGCATAATCATCTTACTTTATTCAAAATTTTTACATATTTAGCTTTTTCTTATTCGTAATATTCACATTGGGTCATAAAAATTACTTAAAATTTCAAAAATAAAAAAAGGCATAACATGTTGGATCGATCTAAACCCAATGACTATGAGTCGTTAACATGTAGTTCTGAACTCGAACCCAAAGTTACCCAACCCAGAGTGACTGAATCTGAACCCGACCCAATCGATCGATTTGCCAACTCCACTTAAAAATATGTAATTTTTGTTTTATTGTCTTATTATGACTCATTTATCCTACATTATATCCTACCGTAATACTCCATCCGTTCCTTTAAACACTCACTACTAGAATATGTTGAATTAGCTGCCAATATTAGCGAGGGGCGCATAGCCCTCGCAAATTTGCGTCGGCTTGCTCGACACAAGTAACTTTTTTATTTTTATATCGGTCTTAGCAACACTATGATATGCAAATATTTTTGTAAATTTATGTTTCAAATATTTTAAAAATAATTGCATAGGGTTATTTGACGTGCGTCATTGAAAAACTAACAAATTATTAGTGTCAGCTTGGCCGACTTTACGTGGGCTTACTCTACACAAGTAATTTTTTAGTTAATCATTTGTGTTGGTTAGACCGACATAAAACTGAAAGCTAAAAAGTCCGCCCATTTAAATCTTATTATCGTCGGTTTGACCGACATAAATGAATAAGACCCGTCACTTTAATTAATTCCAAATCCTAATTAACCCAATCCACTATTTAGTTTATACGGTGTATATAATTTCTTTCACTAAAAAAAGTTAGAACGCAAAGAAACCGTCTGCACCTCGCGTACTACTGGAAGCGCCGACAAGGACCAAGCCGATCGGAGACCCTCTACCATCTAGTGACCGAAATCACGCCGTTCGGAGATTATAAACATGTTCTACATACTATACTCTTTCAGTTTATCAATTAGGTTAAATGACATCTCTAATTTCCAAAGTATATTTATATGATTAGGTATTGATGAACAAGAAATCTGGACGCGGACGACCAGACGGAAAGGAAGACCGGACTCCTTTGCCGCTGGACGATCTCCGATTGCATAGCACCGGCGATTTCAACGAAACCTCTGTCGACGAAGCAGCAGGGCCACAGGCGAACTCCAAAACCTCCGGCTAACCCTAGTCTCTGCCGAACAGTCGCGATTGAGGGCTGATTCAGGTCATTTTTCTTCATCCCTCTTTGTTTAATATACTAATTCTAGATTTTACTCTACCTTTGTTGTTCATTGCTAGATTAATTTCTTTTAATACATATATGTGTTCTTGTGTTATGGTTATGTTTTGTAAAATCATGAGTGGCTAAATATTTAGGTTTGAGTGTTGGATTGTTAAGTGTTGATGAATAGTATGCTTTGATTCTCATTAGGGATAATTTGTGTTAGAAGTTATATGCCTACTTGTTTGTGTGCACCAAACATTGTGTGGTCTTGGTATTGAGTTTTGAATCACCAAGGAATTGGATTTTGGAATTCTAGTCTTGGCTCTTCACTCTCAAATTCTTCTCATGGAAGTGGTTATGAATTTGAGGATTCTCGTTTTACTTGGTTATTGTCGAGGTTGAACTACCAAGGAATTGGAGATCAACTTAGACGATTGAATTCTTTTACCATGGAAATAGAAAAGAAATCTTTGTTAGAATCACTACTTGGTTTGATTCTCCAAATAATTCCCCTTTCTTTTTAGGCATATCATTAACACTTATCCTCCAACACCTAAATCGTGTTCTCAATTATTTATTTCCAATCTTTAGTTATTACTCTTGTTGTTTTGATCTTGCCTCTTCAACCACTTTCTAGACTTAAATTCACTATTATTAGTAGTTCAATTAGTTCTTGATTGGCTAAGTACTTGATTTCCTTATAGCTATCCTCTACGGGAACAACAAAAATACTTACCACTTTTTTCTTTGTGATTGGTGGGCCGTTTCACATTCGGTAAGCCTGATCTTGCAAGAGTTCAAATAATGATTGCAAGAATAGGTTTTTAATGTGACTTCTCTAGGATTCTTCTTGATGATTTACCAACAACTCTTTACTTTTCTGATTCTATGGTGGCTAATGTTAATATTATTTTTACTATTGAATCTAATCAAGTTGGTGCTCATGTTTTTAATACTAGTGTTGTAAATGTGAATTATTTTACTGATTATATTGTTGTACGTTGCCCCTCATGTTAATGATAGTGGTCTTGCTAACACTAGTAATTCTACAGATACCATCGTTACTTTTCTTGTTGATCATTTTCCTACCCATCATGTTAATGTTAGTATTCCTGCTAACACTGTTGTTCTTACTTATACTATAGTTATATATTGTCCTGTTTGATACTGATACTGCAGCTGCTACACTTGCTAGCCCTCTTGTTAATGCTAGTGTTTTTGTTGAATCGGTGAAGACTAGATCGGGAAGACACATGAATGGTGGTACGCAAAGGAGCCACAAGGGATAGACTCCATAAAAACTAGAAGTTAATCCACAAGAAACAATACAATCAATTCACTTTGGAGGCCAAAAGCGAGGAAGATGCTATAGTAACTTTAGAAGTAACTAATAATATTGAAGGTGAATGTTTGGCTTATTCTATTTCTGTAATCTCTCCCATTGTAAGAGTTGGCTTTTAGACTCATTTTTTCGTTTTCTTGGTCCTCTTGTTGGGGTTTGGACCTCCCCACAAAGCCTACACTCTTTGTACTTTTGTGTTAAATACTAAAATTTTCTTTAAAAAATATGTGTTGGTTTTATTTTTTGTGATGTGATGAATGACTTTAAATTCATGATTTTATTTAGGACGTGTATTTGTCATATGTTGAAACCAATTGGAAAGATAAATATTTTACAAGTAGAAAATTGTCTATTAAATATTTTTTTTATTTAAAAAATAATAATTGTGTGGGCTTAGCCGACGCAAATTATCGAGGAATTGGCCGACACAAATTATCGAGGAATTGGCCGACACAAATTATCGAGGGCTTCGCCGACGCAAATTATCGAGGAATTAGCCGACACTAATATTTGCATCGAGCAGATTAGCCGCGCCAACCGCGCCGACGCAAAACTCAAATTTGCGTCGGCTTTTACGCTTTTGCGAGGGCTTTTGACCCACACAAAATCAACATATTCTAGTGGTGACTTCCTATTTTGACTTTGGGCCAAAATAAGAAAAGTGTAATTTTGATTGACTTTCCAATTTTGCCCTTGATGTGATAGATAAAAGTAAGATGTGATAGTTTGGTTATTAGTGAAAAAAGTATGATGTGATGGGTAGGGTATGAAAAAGTAGGGGTAAAAGTGATTTTTTAATCGAAAGTGAAAGTGTTTTAGAGAATTGGGAAAAAAACGAGAGGTGAGAGTTTTATGGAACAGAGGGAGTATAAAGTAAGAGTAAAATTGAAAAACAACACCAAACTACAAAATTTTAAGGCAAACTGTTTTCAAACTAGAAAGATTTTAAGATTGGAGGAAGTACAAAACAAGAAATCATAAATTGTTCACTTGTAATCCAGCATATCACCCGATTCACTCATATGTATATACTTTTAAAAGTATGAAGTATTTTAAAATTAGAAATCATTGCTTGTTAAGAAGATTTGTTAGAAATCGTTGCTAGGTCGAATCCCTTTCAAGGAAATCATATTTTTTTCATTTTATGTTTGGAAGGCTTATTTGTAATCATGCACGGAGTATATGGGGTTTAATTTGCCACATGCAGGTGTTGGACTGTTGGAGATTGGATCTTAAGGACATGTTTTTCATGGTACTCAATCTTACTATACGTTGTATAAAATTAATATTTTCTGAACTATAATCAATTACTCCATATATCATTCATTTTCATCGTTCGTGGATGGATCAAATAATGAGTAATGTATATGGAGCACATGTGTCGAACATCAGTCGCTTCATTTTCAAAGAAATTGCTTATTTTAGTTATAAACTCTCCCTAAGAATTCGCCACTAAAGATGCTCTTAGATATCTGCCTACAAAGTCTAGACACATGTTTCATAGAATACCTGTTGCTATTTTAAAATTTATATCCTAAATATTTTACTTTTAAAAGTTATAAACAATTCAAAAAATATAAAATTAATAATACTATAGCTTTGATCAGACATCAAAGTTATATTATTAAAATAATAATAGGATAGCTTGTCGAGCACGTCAGCAGTAGTGAGGTGGCAATTTTTATTTGCTTGACAGGGAAGGAAATCATTACGACGTCGTCGTCAGCTGGGGAAAAGTCCATTAAGATATGCTACTCTCGGAGGAATCTGTCACACATCAAAAACTTTAAATTTTGCATTTTCTCTCTCTCTCTCTCTCTTTTTCTTTCTTTCTTTCGGGTAATAATTGATTCATGATCCGATCTGTACGCAACATTATTTCCGGCGGCCGGCCCATAACAATACTCGTCGTGTAATAGCCCGTGGCCCAACATGGGAAATTGGGTCATGCAAAAACAGCCCGTTTTTTGGTGTGACTAATTAAAAGAATGCCTCAATTGAAATTTACTTCAATAATTCCGATGTGATTGGAAATAAGGACCTCCTTGGCAATAGTTTCATGGTGTTTATGATAAATTGTCACTAGATAGATTAAGAAGGTATTTGAGAGTAATTAACTTGGATAAAGTAATTTTCACAAAAGCTAAAAGCAAAAATACCATATATCTAATTTTCTGGAAAAGTGTTCTATGTACAAAATGCTGGTAAAGAAAAGCAAAAGTCGGTATACCAAATAGAATAAGAGGGTGTTTGACAGTGTGCTGCTTTTAATAATTTAGCTTCTGCTTTGAGTAGATGTGTTTTTACTCTGTTTTGCATATCAGCTTCTGTTTTTCATCACCACTATTTTGTACATAGAACATCGTTTCGGAGAAGCAGGTACTTCTGCTTTCATCTTTTGTGGAAACCACTTTATCCATAAGTTAATTACTGACAAACAACCTCTAAAATGATTACCCCTAAAGTAGAAACTAAATTCTAAAAAGTAAAACATACACCTTCTAAAATTACTTCAAAGGACCCGTTTTTTGTCACTAGATTACTTCAAAAATTGTCACTATATTACGATAAATTCTTGCATGAACATAAGATACACGGTGAACCTTAATATAAGTGAAATAAGTTCTTTATATTTTTAATATAAGTGAGATAAGTACTTTGCATTTGCTTAGTACAAAGATAAAATACTTTATTTTTTAAAATGTAAATAAATAAAAATTAATGTGAGAAAATCTATGTGATTCATGCATTGGTAGATCTACCAAGAAGTTATGGGGGCACGTGCCCCACCCAATAGTGCCCCCACTCACCCGGCCAACTCAAGACTTCAAGCCCAAAAAGGAAACTCAATTCTTCAAGCCCAAAAGAGAAATCAATATATCTTTTTTTTGAAGGCCTAATTAATTACTCCCTCCGTCCCACTATATTTGTCCACTTTCATTTTTGCACATCATCCAATACACTTCTTTAATCTATTTTATCTTGTAATTTGTATATTTAAAAATTATAAAAATTATATATTAATAATCTATATGTTAAGACAAATCAAACAAGATCACGCATGACTATATTTAGGCTTACACATTAAGAGAATTTGATGAGTCAAAGTGCTTAGATGAACAGTTCCAAAAGTCAAAAGTGGACGAATATAGCGGGACGGAGGGAGTAGTTAACCTCTATAATTGTGCAGCAAACCTTTGAACGATCACTTGAGACATTTGCTTCAATTTCATCAATGCTTTATGTTGTACTCAATTAATTCTTTTTTCACATTAGAACTTTTTAGTTTAACTTTTTTTGAATGATTTGTTTCACATAAAATTTATTACTCTCTATCACATAGGGAGTAATTCATAACACATTTCAAAAGTACGTGTAAAACCTCGAGTGTTAAATTTATTTTATTTATAAATTGATACAAACATAAGAAATACAACTTACTTTGCACAAATTAAAAAAACTAAACAAAAAGTTATATTTCGTACAAAACAAGAAATGATAATAATATTTTACTTTATTTAATCATATAATCAATGAAAACACACAAGTAATTAAAAGTTTTCAGGAGACTAAAATAATAATGTGATAAATAATTTTGGGGAAGAGTAGGCATATAATTTCAATCCACATTCCCCCTCCCCCCAAAAACTAAGGTGCCCCGGGCGATTTCAAATCCTAAATCCGCCGCTAAAATCATGTGAACCTTAGATTCATGATAAAAATTTCTTTTTGAGTAAATTCCATAAAAGGTTCCCAGTTATAGGTCGTTTTACATATTTAGTCCCTACATATCAAATATTACTAATTTAGTCCCCAATTATTATATTTATTTCCACGAATGGTCCTTTGTTAACATTTTCGTTAAAAACGTGGGCAAAATTATAAATTCACACTCATTTCTCTCCTCAATTAGGTTTCCCTCCTCCCTTGCACACCTTTCTCAAACCCGTCGCTGAGTCTCTAGCTTTGAACCCTAAACCAAAATCATCACTCTTCTCTCAATTGTATGTCTAACTGGAGGAACGATCATTTAAGTTTTTGGTTTAAGAGATTCAAATTCAGCGACGAGTTTGGAAAAGAGTATGAGAAAATGGAGGAAACTTAATTGAAGAGAGTGAGGAATATGAATATACAATTTTGTGCACGTTCTTAACGGAAATGTTAACAAAGGACCATTCGTGGAAATAAATATAATAATTGGGGACTAAATTAGTAATATTTGATATATAGGGACTTAATATGTAAAACGACCTATAACTGAAGACTTTTTATATAATTTACTCTTTCTTTTTTTACATTTTATTGTAATTTTATAGTTAGTCATTAATTTCATCTCAAATATAGATTCAAACAATTAAAATAAAAATTTAGAATCTACTTTTTGAAAAAATGGAAAAATGATACACTGGGGGGGCAGTTTTTTTATTAAGATTTGACCTTGACGAATTGTGGAGAGTTCAACAAGGAGACGAATGTCAGTTTTTTGACTTTTCTTGTTACAAAAAGGGCCAAATCTCTCATTCCGGGTGCCTCTCACTGCATACCTTACGGGATTATGAGAAGACTTAAATCATGATGACTCTGACAACAGAAACTGAGACCAGTGCCCACTGCATACAAGGAGTCTCTTTCATTTTTTTTGAGAAATTACTCTCACACTACTGCTAGTGAGGCTCGATCATGGGTCTCTTGTTCCAAATTTGTGACTTTTCTCACATTGTATGTGATGTGCATATAAACAAGAAGTATAAACTCACCCGGATTTGTCAAACGAGGAGAGAAATTAGTATTCCAAGCGCTCTGTGATAATGGGCTGAATAGTTCACAAGTCCATTGACGTCCATTAACTCATAGCCCAACGCACAAAAAAAGTTTCACAACAAAAGCCCATATTTTGAAATAAATAAAATTGTGCTCCTGAAGCAGAATATTAAGAACACTAGAATAGTGACAATGACAAGTCAAAAAATGGAATGTCACAACATGAAATATATCAATCTATAAAAAATAGTCCGATAGGGAGTATGTATCTTCATGTTTTACTCCGTTCGTCCCAAAAACCCTTCTCCTTTTTTTTATCTATCCAAAAAAATATTTCTCATTTCTAATAAAAAGTCACTTTTACCACTAGTAATTCTTAACCTACCTATTACATCACACTTTTTCTCTATTAACCTACCCATCTCATCTTAATTTATCCATCACATCAAAGAACATTTTTGAAAAGTCAATATTAAA